TGCAGCTAGAAAGAAGCAGGACGCGACAGGAAATATAAAGTACAATTTCAAAATAAAATCACGTTTGACTATCAAAGCTTTGCCCACATTTGTTTGTGTCTCACAAAGGGCATCTGTTTATATAGTTTGTAGCCATTTATACTTGTGCGTCATGAACAATACGCGATATTAAGGTAGCCACTTGACGTTGTGTCTTTAAAGTTCAACCGGAAGTGATACCGTTTTGTCTAACTTGACACGTGATCATTCCTGCTCTGGGACCGGGGCAGGACTTCTATCCAAGTCCAGAGTAGAGGAAACCACCGTGGATCAGGGAGGCAGCACACAGGCCGTACTCACAGTTATCTCCATCGTCTGAGAGTTTTGTCGGCAGTGAAAATGACCCAGTGCGTGCAGGGAATGCTGTATTTGTCGGTTCTGGTGGCGTTCGCCGCCTGCAACGCTCCTCCGGTACCGTTAGACGACATCTTCATTGAGAAAACTTTCGTGCCAGAGCAGTGTGTGCGCGCAGTAAAAGTAGGGGATTATGTCAGGTATCACTACAATGGCATGTTTCCGGACGGCAAGAAGTTCGACTCAAGGTGAGTATCGCGCGAGTTAGGAATTTATTCCCACTTTTAGTCTCTCTGTGCAGAGCAGACACGGGTGCACGGTGGGAATTAGCGTGCGTGCTGCGTAAAAGTGCGCGTTGAGTGGTTCGCCCTTGTGAGCCACGCAGGCAGGCAGGCAGACTGAACTCTGCATCCATGTATGCAAGGGATCCAAGGGCCCCAAAACCTTTTAATATCCACAGGGATTACACTAAAGGGCCCTGTTTGATCAGATGGAGAGCTTTGCTGCTATATAGATATTATCCTGCTTGATCACACTGGATTCATTGAAACCTGAGGACCAAGTCCTTATACCTAATGCTCTGCCTGCTTCCAGGACCTCTGAAGGTCCCTGCACTCCACTTTGGGAACCTCCTATATTACCAACTGTAGTAACAGTGTAACATGCAAAGAAGTCTGCTTTCAACGCAGGGCCCCTTGACCCCTGAGGGCCCCAAAAGCCTCAGATCCACTTGTTTTTTCATTAATTGCACATTTGTTAAAGGATTTGAAGTACTAAAGTATGCAGCCTCTGCAGTATTAGCTAACTTTGTGGCCTTGTCTTGTAGAGGGACCCTGTGCTCACATATACTCCTAAGTAAAGTCAAATCTTACACATTTAAATCGGGCCATGTGTGTTTTATCTCAGTTCATCAAAGCTTGTAAAGATGGTGATCTTTAATACTCACTTTTGAGTCTATTTGGATGAATCTGAACTCTGTGAAGGGATTTTTTTTCTGAGTGAGTTGTCAAAACAAGATGGGAGATTTAATTGTTTCTCACAAATTGTTTTCCCACAACAAATACAGTCACTGGTGAAGCAACTTTAGCAGTTTTGCAGTTTTTAAGCACCGAATGAATGTATATAAAATAACATGTTTATGTGTATGTGTTCCAGTTACGACCGTGGCAGCACCTACAATGTGTTTGTTGGCCAGAAGAAGCTGATCGCAGGGATGGACAAAGCTCTGGTGGGGATGTGTGTCAACGAGAGAAGCCTGGTCAAGATCCCACCTCACATGGCATATGGCAAACAGGGATACGGTGTGTTTTAAACTTCCTGTCATATTAGCACATCCCTGTCCTGGCTGATTGTTCTGAATCAGGCAGGACGGAATGTAACATGTTCTCCAAGAAGTTTGAGGACAGTGTGTTTATTCCTCTGGGGAGTTATTATAAATACACAGATGAGTGAGCACACAGCTGGCACTGCTCACAGTAACAATGAGAGAATTTGGTGGGACATTGGCAGGATCATAAGGGACAAAAATGACAGTCTTTGCAGAAAGTACAGTATTGAGATGTACTAGAGTCAGTCGAAGCAGAGAGGAAGTGGGCTGCTCCCCAAGCGTCCATGTTTGATGATGTCAGAGGGACGTGACAAACCAGGAAGCAGATCATAGGAAGATGCTCTGGATCAAGATTTTCTGCTGTTAGTAGCTACACTGCAGATGCCAGAGCATTAGCAGATGGAAGATAAACTTTACAAATCTCCATCTGTACATGAACATAAATAGATCCGGGCCAGTGTGCACCGGAGAGTGTTTGTGTCACAAAATGTTGACACTATATTTGCATGTGATTGGGAGTAAAAATGTAGAGGGTCTGTTTACATGTAGAGACTGTTACGTCACTTAGTGTGTGTGTGCATGGAATAGTTAGATCATGGGATAGAGGGGAGAGCGGGGGCATGTGTGGACAGGTAAAAACAAGTCTGTATCAGAGAGAAGGTTAGAGAGAGAGAGGAGAAGATAGAGAAGTGAGAATTTGGAGGAGGTAGAGAGAGAGATTTAAACTGGAAAAAGGCCGGCCAGCTTAGTAGTAATGAAGATTGAAAGACTGCCGCCCACACATTCCTTGCACCCCTCCTCCACCTCCCCCCCACTCCCACCCACTAAAAATGCTTGTTGAGCTATTAAAGGCCCAAAAGACAGGGAGGCATGCTCATGTTTGAGATGTTGGTGAGTGGACAGACTGATCAGTCGTTGCTGTTCAGGAGGCTGCAGCACTGAGGAAACCACAGACATGTCCTATTTCTAGAAATTGAGGGAGTTTAATGACATGAGGGGGAGTTACTTTGTATTACTACCTATTTATTACTACGGCTGCATCTAATGATTGATTCCATAATCAATTCATTTGCAGATTTTGACTAATACATTCTGTAAAACCATAAAACATCAGAAAACAGTGAAACTAGTCCATCACATTTTTTTTGATCCAAGCTGAATTTTTCAAGTCTTGTTTTGTCCAACCAGCAGTCCAAAACCCAAAGGTATTCAGTTAACTGTATAAGACAAGGGAAAGCAGCAATTCAGCACATTTGATAAGATAAAACCATCAAGCTATTTATATAATCAATCATCATAATTTAGATCTGTGGTTATGAACCACTAGTTTATAGTTTATTTTCGCTATTAATTCACTATATATGTGAGTGAAGGTCACTGAAGAGAAATCTTATCAAATGGGGGTCTGTGATCTAATGTGTATTCATTTAGTGGTCCACTGTTTTAGACTATTTCACAAAAATACAGTTTTAAGGCAAAACAACTAAAGAAAAGAATGTCATACCCATCGCTATAATTCATCACTTATTTTGGGTGACTTCACGGTCTGATGAGATGTTACATAAACCATAACTGGTTTCATAGTAAGCTTTGCTAAATGTCACCCAGATGTTCCAATTCTGAGGTAAAACATGCCAACTTTCAAAACCTTTTTTCTTTTTTTTCTTTTTTTTAAATGAATGGACAGTCTTTCAAGTCTATTTTTATTTGAATTCAAAATATAATACCCAGATTTTCAAAATGTATGTTTGATTCATTGATCAACACAAAGAAATCCTGATAAATAATAAAAAAAAATGTTTATTTGTAATGCAGCAGACTAATAAACGACTTCCCAATCACGTCAACTCCAAAGCAGTACTCTCGTTTATCACTGCCAGGTTCATGGAGAGAGGAAGGCAGTGGCACTAATCAGGATTTATCTTGACACAGACTTCATGTCATTGTTCCAAGATCTAGTGTGAGAGTGATCAATACACGAGAGTCAGACTGGAAAGTACCGTCCACTGACTTGCTCCTTTCTTTTCTCCTCAGGTGACACCATCCCTGCAGATTCTATCCTCCATTTTGACGTCCTGCTGCTCGACGTGTGGAACCCGGAGGACGGCGTCCAGATCAAAACGTACCACACGCCCTCCAACTGCTCCAGAAAGGTGGAGGTGTCCGACTACATTCGCTACCACTACAACGGCACCCTGCTGGATGGCACACTCTTTGATTCCAGGTTTGTTTTGTGTAATAGTCCCTCATTCACACACAGACATGCAGCCACACACACACACACATACACACACATATATATATATATATATGTGTAACCTCTCTCCTCACCCTTCGCTGCAGCCACACCCGTATGCGTACCTATGACACGTACGTTGGGATTGGGTGGCTGATTGCCGGTATGGATCAGGGCCTTCTGGGAATGTGTGTTGGAGAGAGACGCATCATCACTATGCCGCCGTCACTTGGATACGGAGAGAATGGAGACGGTGAGTGTTAACGATGTCTTTATTATCATTTGTTTCCTTGAGTCTGATGACAATCCTGTTAGGGATCTTTGAGAATAACAAGAGATTGATATTTACTGTGGAAAGCAACAGGTGCTGTAGTTGCACATTTGTAGCACAAGGTGGCGGTACATCACACATATGTGTGAACATATGCAGTTAAACTCCACATCTCCTCTTGTTCTCTCTCAGTCGAGTCAGGGATGGAGAATTTAGACTCTTTCTTCTCACAAACCCCTGATCCATTTCTTTGCAACTTTTTATTTGCATTTTACTTACAAGAGACAATTTTTCTATTAATTACTTTTACTAGCAATATTATAAAATATATTTTATTAACATTTTCAATTAACCATACAATAATAACAATAAAGAAGCAAAATATAAAATCCAGTATGAGGGAGACCATCAACAACATTCAGGCCTTCCTTTAATTTCAAAAATAACAATACAAAAATGAACTATATAAATAAAGATTTCTTTACTTTTTAGAAGGTTCCCATACTGTCATGTTGACATCACATTTTCACTATTTGTACTGAAATTCATACTTGACCTTGTTAATAACAGTTTTATTAAATAACTTTAACTCCAATCACTACTTACATGTTCATGGTTCATGTTCAAGGCTTCTCTCGTTCCTCAACCCTTTCTTCTTCTCCCTCTAGGAAGCGACATCCCAGGACAAGCGTCTCTGGTGTTTGATGTCATTCTCCTGGACCTCCACAACCCCAGAGATGGGGTCACAGTGACCAATCAGATGATACCTGAGTCCTGCACAAGGAAGTCCGTTTCTGGAGACTTTGTACGCTACCACTACAATGGCAGCCTCCTTGATGGAACATTTTTTGACTCCAGGTGTGTGTCAGTGTTTAGTATTCATCGTAGATTTTATTGTAAGTAGAAATGAATGTCTGTTGTTCCTCAAGTGGCCTCAGGGTGACAGGATCTCTCTGTGCACTGAAGATGCTTTGAGAAGTGAACTGAAACTTAGAAATCACTGGTGCAAACTTCCTGTTTGCGTTACAGACAGCTGCATCCTGTGCTTTGTTTCGCAACTCTGCTGCTTCTTACAACAGATGATTAGTTCAGGCACTGTATAAGAATATCACTTAAGTGCTAGCCTAGCTGCGTAACAGATACCCCCTCCCAGTGCAAGTGAAGCGCTGGAAGACGGCTTGTTTATTAACCTCTGACCTAGGTAACGATGGCACCCCCCCAAAATCTACACGCGAGACTGTCTTAGCCTGCTTAGGGAGGCGAAAGCCAGGATAACTTAATACCACTAGCCACCGTCGTATCACTTATTTCAGACACAAAATACAATCCAGTTTTATTTGTTTTTTACAAAAAGTTTAGAAAAGGTTACAAAAATTAAAAATAAAAATGAAATAATAGATCATACGAAATCTCAAATGTACCAAGTTCTCAAAAAACTTGTTGTACCCTTCTCCTTGGCACTTTCTGCAACCTCCAGGTCCATATAAGCTAGACAACAGAACACTCTTAAATCATTGGACAAAACAGTTCTCACTGTCTTATCCCTTCTGACAGACCTACTTTTTAAGTTTAATGCCCCCCCCTCTCACTGAACAGGATGTTCTCTAACTAACACAACAGTTAGTTTTTTAATTTCCAACCTTTCTCCTCTGCTGGCTGTCATTCAATCATGTCAGAGTGAGTTCAACTCAAAGTTCACTTATTTCATCAGCTTTAACATAACGGTCAACATTACAAGCACGTATGATTACATTTTGATAAATGATAGGAAGTCACACATTAAAGCAATTTAATAATTAAAATGTCTCCAAGCAATATGGGATTACACGCAACGAGCATATTGATATCTGAAAATATAACACTAATAATAAGCAATAGATCGGAACTCATCATAGATTTGGAAAATCAAAAGAGAAATAGACAATTTGCATAACATACAAATAACACCTCGAGATAGGACTTCCTCTTTTACTAGCGGCCACAGGGGCCATGTTCCCTATATGCTAGTTAGGTGTTAAATTATAATGTGCCTCGAAGACTTCTCTGTATAAGAGTCAGCCAGATGCTCAAACCACAAGACGCTGCCTTAACGCTATTTGGGGCCTGGCCCCTCGCTCCTCAGGCAGAGAGGTGTTAGATCGTTTCAAAGTTTATCTGCAGTATATGCAGCGAAACTACAATTTCCCCCTTTTGCATGTATTTGTTTAATCCATAATTAATATGAATCGATTAATCAAATGGTGTTTCAGTTATTTTAATAGCAAATAGGGAGATAGGTTCTCAGGGTGTAGTGTGTCTCGGACATTCATGGTGGATACCTCAAGAATAGCTTTAGAAAATCTCTGCGAGGATGACAGAAAATATCAAACATATAGTTCACTTTTGGAAGAACTACTTTGATCATTTGCAGCTCAGTGGGTAGAGCGAGTCGTCCTTTAATAACAAGGCGCTTAACAGCATCAAACTGTTCCTAATGCTTAGGATGGTGTGGTTGCTGGTGGCAACTCAAGCACAGTGGTTTTGAGGATTTTATAGGACTCCTATAGTCACGTCTGTTAGGTAGTCATGTGTTATTCAGATGTGCTCTTCGTGACATCTCACTTTATACTATGAGAAGAAACAAACTGTGTATATGTAGTTCCCAGATTGACTGTGATTTCTTTCTCCATGTTGCAGTGGGATAATAATAATATATTCTCTGTTCCACAGCTACTCTCGTAATCGTACCTATGACACCTATGTGGGTAAAGGCTACGTGATCGCCGGCATGGATGAGGGTCTGATTGGAGTCTGTGTCGGAGAGAGACGCACCGTCACCATCCCACCACATCTCGGCTACGGAGAAGAGGGCACAGGTGTGTGTGTGTATAATGCTCGGATACCCTTATCTTGAAAGTGTTCCCACCACTTTACTCTGTACACCAAAACAAGCAGACACAAAATGAGCAGGGGGGGGGGGGGACATACAGGGGTGTCAGTTTTATGCCCACACACGTATCTTAGCCAGTTCAAACTCAGTGGTCCGAACCTGGAAGTTAACTATTTATTCTTCAAAGGAAAACTGCTGATGGTCAGAAAACAGGCATGCAGAACATAGATCCCATTTAGACAAGAGTTGACCCCTCTGGGTCAACCAGATACACCTGTGCCACCAGAGTGCGTTCGGTCACACAGAGTTCATTTGTGAATAGTGTGTGTGTGTGTGTGTGTAAATTTACAACAAAGTGGAAATACATACTAATACGTTGTTCATGCTCTCATGACTTCGTCTGGGCCAAGAACCTTTTGGCAGAACACACGATTCGTATACCGAAAATGTTTTGATACAAATTGGAATGATATATTACAATTTGTCTGGCGCGCTTTAATCACTTTCTTAAGAATGTTGTTATGAGACCAAATGTGTTCAGTTCAATCCTAAGTTATATGATGATTTTCTTCAACAATGGATGCATAAATACTTGAATCCTTGTTTTAGCTGCGTGTGGTGGCACTTCAAAGAGGAATTCACAAAGAGCGAGTTTGTTCTTTTCTAGTTTAGAGTTGTGTTGCAATAAATAAGAGTCACATTTCCAAATGCAGAGAAGCTGATTCTGATTTAGTTCCTTCGTCTGCAGCTTTAACATTGTATTCTTTGACTTTCTCCATTACCATGTTTCTCTCAGGCTCTAAGATCCCTGGTTCAGCTGTACTGGTGTTTGACGTTCACATCATCGACTTCCACAACCCGACAGACAACGCCGAGGTCACCGTCACTCACAAGCCAGGAGAGTGTGAGAAGCAGACCAAGAAGGGAGACTTTGTCAAATACCACTACAACGCGTCTCTGATGGACGGCTCGTCCATTGACTCCACGTGAGTAAACGTCTGTGAGACACTTTAAGCAAAACTTCTTGGAAAACTGAGAAACCTGGAAAGACGTAGTTCAAGAAAAGATTTGCATAATTTCAGTGTTGAAAGTCCTTCATCAAATTCAGGGCCCCATATGGCTACTGCAGCTGTCATAGGGACCTCTAAAGAAAACGTTTCGCGAGATTTCGCAAAATTACACGTTTGTCTGTTTGGTTATTTTCAAGTTTTCTATTTTTTTTTCCCCTTCATGTCCCTTCGGGGCTTGTGATCCAATTTATTGATGTAAAACTAGAAGATTACTACCTAGGCCGTCCTGATGATAACTCTAATGGAAACTGATTTGAACCATCGAGTGAAGTATTTGTCTTTGGTAAATGTTCTGGCTGCCAACAAATAAACAAAATTAAATAAACACATTTAAATAAACACATCTGGTCCTCTCATCATGTCATGCCCTCCTCCTCTTGTCTGAGTCAGGCTGACATTTTTGGCGAGTCAAATGATATTTGTGATTACTTTTCTGGGAAATGTTCTGTATTTCGTCTCAATGTTTCCTGGCATGACTCGATTGAACACCTCTCACGGTGGCTGCTCTGGGAACAGTTAGTTTTTATGAAACCAAAAATGCTGGGTTCAAAACAACAAACTATATGAGGTCACGTACGCTTTGTCTTCAACAGAAGTAACATGATATGTGTGCTTGCTTAAGAATAATGACTAAAAATACAGATGTTTTGTGTGTCTCTGTTTTATTTGAACTCAATTTGTTTCAGATATAATTATGGAAAGACATACAACATCGTCCTGGGAGCCAACCAGGTAGTCCCAGGGATGGAGGACGGACTGATGGACATGTGTGTGGGAGAGAAAAGGCACCTTGTCATTCCTCCTCACCTGGGCTATGGGGAGAGAGGAGTCAGTAAGTCACACACAAGCACACGAGCAGTTAAACAGAGAATACATGTGATGGTGCCAGCTGTTTCCCCATTTCCATTTCCATTGAAAAATATCATGTTTCACTAATAAACAAACATAAACCCTAACCTCAGGTATCAGTTTAATATTTATAATACAGATAGTTAAAGGAAAAGTTTCTCTTGCTGGTGACTTGAACTCACTTCTCCTCAACACATTTTTGAGTCTGAGCTCTACCACTTCACCTCCAGCTCATTCTGTTTGTGTGTTTGTGTAGCTAACGAAGTTCCAGGGAGCGCTGTGCTGGTGTTTGACATCGAGCTGGTAGAGATGGAGGAAGGACTTCCTGAAGGCTACATGTTCATCTGGAACGACGATGTGTCAACCGACCTCTTTACCGAGATGGACAAAGACAAGAACAAGCAGGTGGAGCCCTCTGAGGTATGTGATAACCTGCCACAATATCTGTAACACCGTAGACAGTTTTTCCTGTTTGCTACAGTCCATTCATCCTTCATTTTCCCTCTTGCACCCCTCCTCTGTTTCCATAGTTTACTGACTACATCATGCAGCAGGTGAACGAGGGTAAAGGTCGCCTGGCTCCTGGCTTCGATCCTTATCGCATCATTGACAACATGTTCTCCAACCAGGACCGCGATGGAGACGGAAAGATCACCGAGGCAGAGTTCAGACTTAAAGCAGATGAAGCCGTCGACCATGACGAGCTATGACGGGACTGAGTGCTAAGCTCAGATCAGGGTGAAGGCGGAAGGGTCAGACAGCGGGGTTGTAATGCATATGTGGGTGGTAGAGTAGGAAGAGACAGGGTTGTAAGTGTAAAGTACGCCAGTGTGAAGCGAGAAATGTGCTGACAGATTTTTTACTTTGAAGATTTCGATGATGTTCGAAGGGCTTCTTCGCCTTTAAGAGCCAAATGAGAAGATGGAGTGAAAATTTAGGAGTGAGATTATTTTGAGTGCTAAATATTGGAAAGTCTCGTCTGAGGTCTGTGATGACTTTTTTTTTACCTCCACTCCCATCAAGTTCGTGTCTTGTTTTATGTGACATTTTTTATTTTATTTTTACTTGGAAGGGTACAAAAGCACTCATGTGTGAAAGAACAAACCAAGGCCTCACTCCACGATTTCTACATTCGACACTCCTTTGTGACTTTTATTGTTGTTAACATTTTGTAAAAACTTTGTTTTCTTTTCACTGGGTATCAGCTGGTCTCTGAAACATCGGACAGTCTTCCAGGAGCAATAAGTCGGTTATCACTCACTGTTATATACGGTGATGATGGGGGGCAAGTTACGTTTGTTTCTGAAAGTTACAACTCATTGATTGATTAAAAAATAAGTGAAAATGTTAACATTTTATTTACACGGTTTACAGCTGACACCTTTTACTCTTTTACCTTTAAATGTCAGGATGCCTTCTGTGTTTCTGCTGTTAAAATCATCCAAAATAACACTGAAAGGTCCCAAATCCTAAAATGTTGGGGCTTTGCAGTCTTTCAATCACTTTCCGTCAACTAGTTGTTCCATTGCTTTTTTTTTTTCATCCAAATTGTCAACATCTGGGTGCAGTTTATGACTAAGACTTTGTGTGTGTGTGTGTTTGTGTGTATGTGTGCGTGTGTGAGAGAGAGAGAGAGTGTGTGTGAGAAAGAAATAGAGAGATATGTGTGTGTAATTGTTGCTTTTGTTTTACTTTTTCATTCAGGAGAATACCGAGGCTTGATGATGAAAATGTCAACACAAAATTTCATTTGATTAAATGATCTGACCTCAATATAAGCCGAGACTGTGTCTGTCCTTTTGTCCTCCAAGTGTCTCTCTTTGCTTTAGACACTTATTTTGATGACAGCCAGCAGATCGCTTTCTTTTCTAATAGTCGCACAATCCTTCATCAATAACCCAAAGTGTTGTCTGATATGTTTTCAGGCTGGATTCAGCTTCAGACTATAGTTTGAATCACTGTAATTGACTTATGAGCCTCTTTAAGTAAACTCTTTTTACTTGTAGTTGTCGTTCTTTCCTCCCTGATTCACTGTATTCAAATTATTTTTGTGCATCACTAATGGCAACCCCGTCACCATTGTTGGCGAAATCATTCAAGTCCAGTTCAGAAGCTGCTGTGGTGTCGTGAGTTTAATAAAGCATGCCGGCAATCTGGTGACCTCACAGACACAGCCGATCTGAGCCGGTGAGTTGATAGAGAACAAATGACAAAGAAGCAATCTATACAGGGAGCCAGAGCAGTGTCATGTAAATACTGAAAAATAAAGTGAAGGTGAGAGGGAGGGAGGGGGGGGGGGGGGGGGGGGGGGGGGGGGGGGGCATTCACATTCAGACCTGCAGGAAGGACACACAGTAGGTGGCCTGAAGCAGCACCTAGGCGTCATTTGGTTTAAGAGGTCTGGCCACAATGTGTATTCTTCATCACCATTCACTAGGCCACACAATCAATGTGCTGTTTCAGTCGGTTACTGGTTCAGTACTAAACCAGTCCTATGTAGGTAAACGCTGTTCACCGGATTAGCCTGGCAACCACTGTAATGGTATACTGCCTGCTTTAACCCATACCCCCTCCCAGTGTCGATAAGGACCTGGAAGACAGCTGTTCTGCAACCTCTGGTATCAAACAGGCGTTTTCCAAAACCAGCACGCAGTTCAGCACATCTTAAAACACCGGCTGCCTTTGTATCACATTACTAATTACAGTTTGAGATACCACTCACTGTCGATTCTAACCATTCTAAAAAGGAAGAAAAGGTCACTCGGGGACAAAACCACAGAGACCTTTATGGCCTCGTACTTCCTGCTGTTTCCACGAAAAGCCGGAGCTTCAGCTGGTGGCAGATTTCAGCTGTAGTTCACTGTAGATTCAGGATGTTGCAGCAATGTCTCCAAGTATTTGTTTAATTGACAGTGAATTAGTTAATTTATAGATGATATGATCATTTTCCTTCTTAGAATTAGTATTAAAAATGTAATTGCTTCAAAAACTTCAGAAGTCAGTTTCATCTATTGTAGATATTTTAATGAATAACTACTTTGAAGATGAGCAATGAGGAAACTAATTCTGATCTTGATTTCAGTTTGACTTACATGAGCGCTTCTTCACACCATCACACAGACAATGGGGTCAGGGTGACAAGTCTTAATTTAATTTAATGTTTTACATCAAAGCTTGGCAAGAGGAGTCCTTGAAAGTTAATGCTAGACTAAAGAAACTAAGGGAAAGGTGACAGGGTGTTATTTCCCTGCCTTCCACAAACACATTTCAACCTCAACATTACTCAGCATGTGTGTACTAGTGGTATTAGAAGTACTCATATATTTGATCTTTCTTAAGTAAAAGTAGCTATACCACAGAGAAGAGATACTCTGTTACAATTTTAAAAGTAAATTTAAAAAACTTAACTTAAAGTACCAAAAGTAAAAGTTGTGCAGGACGGGCCAGAATGTTTATTGTACATCTTGACGTTGTGGATGGTGAAGGTGGACTTGGTGAACCGTTTATATGCAGCTCTTGAATTTTCCCCTGAGGCTCAATAAAGTATCATCGTAATTTATAACAATGCATCACCATAAATGTGTTGATCACAGTTTGTATTATTAATGTGAATTTGCAAAGTAAAAAGTACAATAATTCCCTATAAAGTAGCATACAATGGAAATACTCAAATAAGTTACAAGCACTTCAAAGTTGTGTTGAATACTTGGGGTTCCATACTGATTGCAGTATCCAACATGTTTGTTTGCGAGACTTTCTGCAGCGTTGGTTTATTTGATCCCAAACCCTACTAAGTAGGTTTATTGACCGTGTCGACGCGACCCCATCGCGCTTACTGAAGGGTGAACGTGAGCTGGAAACCTGGAAACACTCACCGAGAGGAGGAGGAGGAGTCGGAGGAGGAGGAGAGGGGAGTCCCTCCCTCCCTCGGGCTCTGTGACGCCACAGCTGCTTTTGCAGCCCGCTCAAGATACGCATGCTGCATTTGACCACCAACATGGAAACTCAAGCTGACACACTTTTGTCCCTGAAGCTCGACGTCGACACTTCAGAGTAGTTGTTGTACTTCTGCAAACGACAAACTTGATATTCCTTCCCTGTCTGGAGAGAAGAGCTACAAGTTTTGCTCACGGGCGGCTGTAACGTTTCATCATGGATCGCATCAGCCTCGGCTGTCAGGTACGTGCTTGGTAACGGAGCCACAGTCTTGTTAATGTGGCTGCAACAATGGAGGGAAGGGCAGCGGAAATAATGGGAACACAAATCCGTGGAAATATTTATACTGGTCGGACGGAGCCCATCTGTTCCTGTGTGTGTGTGTGTGTGTGTGTGTGTGGTATTTACGCATGCGAAGTTGTGTGTGGTATTTACGCATGCGAAGTTGTGTGTGGTA